GCTGGTGCCTTCAACCGTCAGGAACCATTCAGATTTGTTTATGATTAATAATCTGCATGGACAGGCCATGGACTCAGAAAGCAGTGACACTTGAATTTGATTTAAAAGTGTATGCCTGGAGAAAGTGGCATAAATTCCACATTTTAAAGACTTTCCGGTCTCAAAAGGGAATAAAAGCCATTTAAAAGTCTCCAAAGATATACATTTATCTTAAAATTAGCATTGAATCTAAATTCTTTTTTATTCAGATTTTGACTCAAAATGATTGGAGATATAAAAAAATAAAATAAACAAAAAGATTACTGCCTTAATAACCCACCCCCCACCATGCTAAACCCAAAAGTGTCCGATGGTGCTGAATGAAAAAGTACAGGTGAAGTTGGTAGAACAAGGGCAAAACACACTGACGGCATAAGACACACCATTCAGTTAATGATGTTTGTGTCTTTGATAACTGACATCTGCCTTGGACCTCCTGGCTTTTGTAGCAGTGTTGCCAAAATGGGCTCATGTGACTGATCCACTAAGTAAATCTGGTTTAATCTCTTGGTGTCTACAAGTGCTTCAATTAATGCTGCTTTCCGGAGTTTTCCCCCTTTCAGAAATTATGTATGATCTGTCAGAAATCCGTAAAAGTGATTGTCTCATCATGTACTGTGATAAAATGTAAGCAATACGTCTTTTTATTTATTTTTTTTGCTAAGCACGCCCCCTGCCCCGCAAAGCTCCGTGCAATAGGAAACTGAACGCTGACACCAGCTCAGTGGCCTAGTGGTAGAGTGTCCGCCCTGAGACTGGGAGATCAGGGTTCGATTCCTGGTCGGGTCATCCCAAAGACTTAGAAAAAATGGGACCCAACGCCTCCCTGCTTGACACAGCATTAAGGGTTGGACTGGGGGGTTAAACCACCAAATGGTTCCCGAGTGCAGCTGTGTCTGCAGCCGCTGTCACCCCATCCCCAGGGGATGGGTCAAAGAGAACAAATCTCGCACACACATCCGTGTGTGTGACAACTGATGGGACTTGACATGAACTAACCAACAGCTTTAGACTACCACTTACTTGCTTCAAATTTAAGGAATACCTCGGCTGATGCAGAGTTGATGAACTTTTCACGGACAAGTCTTTAAAATATAAAGATATGAAAACACAACATGACATGAGAATAATATTCGTAAAACAACACGTTTTAGCTCTGTTTGTCGGCTACTGAAGCATTTGTCAACAGAAACGTAAAGTCGCCATCTTAAAAAAACAGAGGAACAGAGTTTTTGTGTGATTGCTTGTCAGCCACTAGAAGGTGCCATCGGATAAGAGAAGTACTCCGGAAAGAAGCTTTAAGGTCTCAATATGAAAATAATCAGTTAAATAAATATATCATCCTTACGGCAGTATACTGATTTTTTTCCCTTAATTTATACTGATAAATTTCATTATCACTACACAGCACAACTCTGCCACCTGCTGTGATAAATCAGAGCTGCAATCTTCCTAAAATGTGAACTCTGGATCATATTTAGCAAATACATAATAACAATATTACATCATTGTCTAAAATAATCACTATGATGATTTTCCCATAACTGAATAACTTAACAAAAATTGGTGTTAAATAAATATTCTTAAAAGCTCCAGTTAGAATGGGTTGATACTTAGATAGGCTTACAAAATTATCAACAAACACAAACTACAAAGCCCAAGACATTTGGTTTTTTAGTGACAGATTGTGCTTGTGAGAAGTCACAACGGATGTGAGAAACACAAGCGGGGGTAATTCACCTCGTGTCTGATCGTAACAAATAATAAGATAAAAACTACAAAAATACCCAAGTGATGGATATAAATGCTTGTCCTAGATCAAATAAAGGAGTCATGGGTTATGTTATAATATAATAATTCTTGTGGAATGAACTTACACAGACTTTAAAACATCTTATCATAACTAAAACCTGCAGGACAAGAGCAGCAGGATAAAAAGCTTTCAGCCCGTGCAGGTTTTGACAGGCCGGGCAGACAAATTAAAACATTATAAAAGCTCTTTGCTAAATTCATTTCCTGCAGGAACCGACACAAATTACAACATTACAGAACAAAATTTGAAGAATTAACCTATTAAAACTGGTTTTCATGAAGATTAACACATTTTTCAAATTACAGGGAAAAAAAAGCTGGTTTGATTCCATCCACCGGCAGCCGAGGGCGTTTCGATGAGCTGCCAAATGAATGTGCCTCGAATTACATCTAATGGAGGTGCTGAATTTACTACCATGCCCATGAGCAAGGCAAACAATGTCAAGGCCACTGTGTGGTGGTTCACAGCAGACAGCAAACTTACACACTTACTGAGCAGAGGTGTCAGATAAATCAGGAACAGTGTTCTGGCTAAAACTACAAGCAATTTTGTCTTCCTATGACATACAATTATGATTATTTCTAACAGATTTTCACTTAAGATTGACTATAAAGCACATTTTACACAACGTTTTCATAAAGAATCCCCTCAGGCCTGCGGCTTCTCATCTGTATCCGTTTAAAGACCCAAGCAGCAAACAGAAAAGCAACCAAGTTCAGCAACAGAGTTCAGGGCTGATGTTTGGGATTCTGGCAGCAGAGAAACACTCATTTGTTGTGTTTCTGAACCGTGACTGCTGGAATATCCAAGCATATCACAAGTCATTTAGCTAAAATGGTAAATGTCCATGTAACACAAGGGCATTATCAAAAAAAGAACAAATGAGAAATTACAACTGCTTCTCTGCCTCCTAGTACTGATTTCCTACTGTACAGTAAAACTGATGAGATGCTGGTTAGAGGAAAACCCCTTCCATCAAACCAGAGCACACCTTTACATTTACATAACCTAAACACAGCAAACGGTCGTAGAACGGTTTTCTGCCATATCCACATAGCACATAACAGGACTGGGATAAAACAACTATGATTGTATTTACTTAATTATCTATTTTAATAATTCCTAGTATTAGTTGGGATCTACCAGGGCTGCTACTCATCTATGATCCTGATTGTGGTGTGCATGGACAAGATCCCAAGGTTCTCAAGGCGGGCATCTGGTTTTACAACCTCAGTGCCGCCTTTCTACTTTTTGCAGATGATGTGGCTCTGTTGAGGTTTCAAGCCATGACCTTCAGCATGCAAGGCGGCAGTTTAGTGTCTTGTCCACAAATGATGGTAGGAGGAGGTGACAGATGGATTGGGACTTCAACTGCAAAAATTAAGACCAAAGCTTGGTCTGTTGTGGCGGAGAAGGAGCTAAATGAAAGGCAAAGCTCTCAGTATACTAGTCTGTCTACAATGCAACCCACATTCATAGGTATGAGATCTGAGTCAAGGCCAAAAGAGGCAACTGTGAACACAAGTGGCTGAAATTGGTTTTCTCCAAAGAATGATTGGACTCAGCCTTATGGCATTTTCACAACTGGCCCGGCTGGGCCCACGGTTGGGTCAGCCCGCTCCCGGGCAGGAAGGTCTTGTCTGTGGTTCACACGTCATTCTCAGAAACGTGAAAGTCTTGGAGCATATGGGCGGGGCCAAAGACACGAGAAGAGATCAGTAATGCCTCCCTTAAAGGCGACCTTGAGCAGTGCTGCTTTTGTAGACTCTGAGATGAAGCACACAGCTTCCTACTCTCTTACCAAGACTTCTGTGGACTCCTCCCACAGCAGTCTGTCCTTTGTGCTCTCACGGCTGGAGTGGTGGTTCTAAGCTACAGTTAGAGAAGATGCATTCAAACTCATTATGAATCGTGCATTCGGGAAGCCGCTGCTGGCTGATTCTACTAGTCAATCCCTGGCTCCCTCTAATACGTAGGTGTGAACTTTAGTCGGCCAGTCAGTTGGTACTGGGTGTGCTGGGTCGGCTGAGCACGAAGCTGACTGCCAGAAAGCAGGTAATAAATAAATAAATAATAAACAAACACACAAACAAACAAACACTTAGTTAAGCATGGAAAATGCACAGATTTGAACATAATTAACCCAGATGTGACAGGACCATTCGAGATAAGGTGGTCTGGGAGGATCTGGGAGTAGAGCAGCTGTTCGGATTCACTGAAGGGAGTCAACTGACATTATTTGGGCATCTAACTAGGATGCATCATAGCCCCCTCCTTTTGGAGGATTTCTGGGGACATTGCACAGTGAAGACACCCCCAGGTCCAGGTCCTGGATTTTTTTTTATTTTTTTACCTCTATGACCTTACCTAGGACTGGCAGAAAAAATTAAATGAATGGCTTAATAACCAGTTTAGGAATAAAAACCATGAAATACTAAACAAAGTCCTCTGAGCATACTAATAATTTGGGAATATTAGAGCTAAACTCTAATAAGGAGTTTATTGAATTACGTTTAAAAAAAAAAAAAGACACCAAGACTCCAACAATTTGTGAAAGGACAGTCACAGTAAACTGTTACCAATTAAAAGAAATGGAACAGAAAAAACCCTAATGATTACTAAATCACAGCACCATAACAGTAGGGTTAGAAATTGGAAGATTCCACTCAAGAAAACAAATCTAACTGAAATTAATTCAAAGGACAGGACCGCATTTCTGTAAAAATCAAATGCAAGCAGAAGTAACATATTCGGATTGTGTTAAGACTTTCAGAGCTGAAACAAATAAGAGCTACTGGGTAAATGAAAAAAGAAGAATCAGGAAGTGCCAAACTGATATATATTCAGACGTGATGATAAAATCCACCAGGCATGAAAGCTGGCATGTTTTTATCCTGAATAAATTAGAGAAATCAGTCAACCTTGTCTGGAAGCTTTAAGTTCGCACAATAAATGAGTTTTTGTTGGAGGAACTTCATTTTTAGTTCAGCATTGCAGATTACTTTGAAAAGGGGGAAATGATGAACATGTTCAAAAATGTTAATGGGTTCATTATGAAAGAGAAAAGGATGCTGGGGGAGAATAAGAGGGCGGGGTTTGGAGCAACATGTGGATGAATCCAACAAAACAACACTTTTGGCTTTCTCACCCTCATGTTTGCAAAGGGCCTGTCATAGTTGCCAACGTAGAGCAAGCCGACAGTCTGTGTTAGCAACCTGCAAAGACAAAAAGATCATGGTTATCGCCTGCAGCACAGGATCTGAACGTTAGAGCATGTGAGTGTTAACGGTGGAAAAAAAAATCACCACTCCGCTTTCATTTACCAGCTAGTAACAGAGCAGCAGCAATGTGAGATCACACCTCTCTGAGCCCTTCTGTGTCACTGCACAGCTTGAGGTTCCTTAACCTACAGAGTGAGCTGCGTTATGGCATGTTTATCAACCCACACTCTAAGAATTACAGGAGAATAATTCACAAGAGTAAAACAGAAATTACAAAAAGCTGCAGAGCATTTTAAGTAACAATGATAGAAAGGAAAAAGCTCTGGAAAAATAAATAAATATATAAATATATAAAACAATAAAATGAGCTAAAATTTTTCTTTACAGCCTGACCAGTGATTTGAAACGCTACTAAATCAAAACTCAAACTGTACCAGAGCAATTCATTTAATGTGTTTGTGATCAATAGTTCTCCGGGCTTTTAGAAAATCTAGAGTTGTGTTTTCTTTGGACATTTACGGCTCACTTTCAGTCCCGTCTTTGCACCATTTTCTGAAGAATACGTTTACATTTTTATTAGGCCACCTGAGAAACAATGAAGCTCAAATGGTAACTAAGACAAAAAAAAAATAAAATAAATAAAATAAACAATAGTATCAACAAATTATATGCTGTGAAATAGCATGTTTATTTACTCTGGTAACCATCCATAACACATTTTAATTCATTTAAATTTCTGAGTATCTGATGTCCATGACTCCTAGCCACACCTAACCACCACACTAAATATTAACTCAGTTACATTGAACAAATTATAGCCTGTTTGTGCTGGCTAAGGCAGATTAGATAGCAGCCATTATAAATTAGGTTGACTCCAAAAGGTAATCCATCAAAGGCGTACACCTAGGGGCTGGGCGAGATGGCCTAAAATCAATACCATGGTGTATTGAGGATTTCACCTCGATTACGATAAATGGACGATAACTACATGTATGCGCAAAAACGAAAGTTGCCCACTGGATGGGGCTGTCACGTGTATTACGTTGAGTCACTCTGTCAGGTGGCTCGAGGTGGTTCAGCTTCCTAAAGGGACATGGGTTATGTCGGAAACCTACACACATCTTTTCACGCTTTTAATTATCAAATTATTGCCATGCCCTTCATACACCCAATGGTTACTTTCTGAAATTGTCTTAAATTTTGTCTAATGGTCTATGAAATATTTTCCTAACAATAGAGGCAAATGGACATGTGCAGACAAAAACAATATCACCAGCCTTACCAATGGCGACAACGATGGTCTAACGCTTGAATTTAGCAGCCAATTTAAGATTGATTCATATTTTATTCAGTTTTACTTGTATAAACAAAAATATCTAAATAAAATGCTTTAAAGGGACTTTACGGAATTTTGAATTTTTATGCTCGCGATTGCCCCCTCAGGCCAAAAGTGTAACGGCAGCTTCAATAGTAGGCTCGTGCACGAGGCGCGCATGCTGTACGTGCACACTCCTTAAAGAAAATTACAGCTGAGACAGTCCCTTGTGTGTGTGTGTGTGCGGCCCGGAGGACAGAGGACAGGAGGACGCGCAGCTAATTAATTAAATAATTTGGTTCTGTACATTTCTCTTCAGCACAGCTGACAAAGGTTTATGATGGGTCAGTCCTCCTGCATGCTCAGATCATTCCCTTCCCTTGCTTGAAAAATTGTTCCAAAATGAAAGTTGAACCCACATCTTTTTTATCTGTGAATGCAATGCCGTGCGGCGAGTCTCAAATTAAAATTTGGGCATCTTACTGTAAAAAATATACCATTAATGTAAAAAAGAAACTCTAAATAAACTAAGCTCACATCCAGAATCGAACCCAGGTCTTCTGCATGAGAGTCAGACATCTTACAAGGTGAGCTACACACCAGTGACATTCAAATCATCTGTAAATTTTATATCCTTGACACCTGAAACAACATCAAACCAAAGAACGGTTCGGAGCGAAAATGGCTATTTTGTTGCTAATTTGCAGGAAATATCTAGAAGAAAGTAGCTAAGGGTCCTCAGAGATGTAGCTAGGTTCATCACTAGGCGTTAGGAACAGCGACAAAGTCGCTGAGTTGGCACTACCTCACTCTCTGCTGCTAAAGCTACTGATAGCAAATGCTACGGGCTATGCCTGAGCGTGAACGCGCATGAAGCAGCCTGCTCGACCCGAGCAGCTCTCTTTTTCTGTGATTTTACAGAAAAACAGGCAATCACAGTAAAAATGCCAGGACTCATTCTACAGGACCAGGGCATTGTAGGAGAATGTATGAAGAAGAAATTTATTATTTCTATACATGTTTTGGCTGTCAAACTTCCATAATGCCCCTTTAATAATAAAAAAAGGACTAAAAACTGCTCTTTCGTTCTTAATCAAATATCTTTGAACTAAAAATTGATTTAAACTTTAGCTGCAACAACAAAAGCAGTAAGTTTCTGAATATTTCCAGAACAAAGAGCTCTGTGCCCTCCCAGATAACCAACGGATGTCTTACTCACACAACGTTCACCTCCTCTCCTCCACCGAGGAACGCCACATGTGGTTGCTGTTTATTTCAGGCACGCTGTCTGCAGCTATATGCGCCAATGACTAACAATACAAATGCTGGCACTGGTTTAGTATTAGTTAGCCATTTTTAGCACAGAACTAAGGGGAAGGGGGGCACAGAGCTAAACTGACAGATAAACAACAGTGCAGCTACGCAGTCTGGTGCATCTCTTCCAGAGATCTCAAATGGAGCTGAAATTGGACACCATCTTCCCAGCCACTCTCACCCCTTCCTGTGTAATGATAGCTAGCACTGAGAGGAAGGAAGCTGCAGTAGACATTAAGAGGGGCAAATAGGCATACTTTAATGTACGCTGTCTGATGCCAAGCCAAGTCTGTTTCCATCCATAGTTGTACTCAGCGCCTTCAGAAACCTGCAGGTCTCACAAACAAGAAAATTGCCAGTTTTTTGATGGCGTTTCTTAAATGACAGTAAATCAACTGCAATTTCCCAAAAGCATATAGAACAAAGGACGAAACAGATAAAAGTGTATAAATCACGGAGCAGCAACAGAATGAACTCTTTCTCTTGATGTTTACAAACTCTGAGTTCCACTCGCCATCTAAAAGCTCCAGGGTCATGTGAGGCGGAGTCCTGCAGACTTAAATTACACCACAGCAGCAGTTTCACTCTGACTTAGGAAGAGGTAAATGATGGCAAAAAAGACAAACCTTAAAAGCACACATCAAACAAGATACCTCAGGTAAAAAACAGGGCGGGTGTGTGTGTGTGTGTGTGTCTGTGAAAACAAAATGCTGTTAAATGTCATCATAGCCTACAAACCGCACGCTATCAGCACTTTATCGCCTGCCAGCCAAACATTTCAAATGATTTATGAATCTGTAGAAGCAAAATATATTTCTGTCAAAACAGACTAAAAAAGGTCAAAGAACTGTGAAAATCTTTTTATAGCCACATTGGAAGAAATTATTTGCATCATGTATTCTCAGTCTGACTTACTATAAAATATTTATGAGTGTTTCCAAACCATCCATTCAACCTTAAATGAATGGTTAAGGTGGTGCAAAGGGGTATCAAAGGGGAGCGATCCAGCTAACTGTTGGTCACACCACGGTTACCCAGTGGTATCCATCCTGTAGTATGTTTTGAGTCACCCTTGAGCTGGAGGTGGATTTATCTATGCTTAAATTCTCAAGACACAAAAACAAAACTTAAAGACAAACCACAATGGGATTAGACAAATTTCTGGCACACTTTAATTAATGTCAGTCCTGCATGGTTGATCAGACTGGCATCAATATTTGATAAAAGTAACTGCCATTTCCTTTTCTGTGAGTGTGAAAATGAAACATTTAGGAACATCCACTGGTCTTGAACGAGGTGAACGCAGCAAGAATGAAGTTCTTCTTGAGTAACTCTGGTTCTATTCATGACATCTAGAAAGTTCTCTTTTACAAATCTTTTCATTTACAGGTGTGGAACACTGAAAAACCATTTAAAAGATGATTTTAAAGATTATAATCAGTCACTCTGAGTTTCATGCAGGCTAAACGAAAACAGTCTCCTACACCTATCCACTCTGCTGCATTAGCTTCTGATAGAAAATAGATGATGAAATGTTAGGGTTTAAAAAACCTCACATATCTATGTCTCACACTGTGAATTTGCATCCATGGCCTCAGCCATTTGTCTCGCACTCTTCCACAGCAAGGCTTCCAAACTCACTCACTGCCAGCCGTTTCCTGATCACTAACGGCCTTCGCTGCCAGCGTTTCTCACCGTTTTTACTGTTTTTTTAAGAGTCACAGAACGTTGAGCGCTAGCATGATGTCGACGCCAAAACAACAAAAACAAAGAGGAGACTCACCTCTTACATCAGGAAGAAGCCGCGTGTTTCGAGCGTTATCCGTTCTTTCATAATCCGTTGTCGAATTGTGATCGGCAGACGCTTTTCCGGTTCGCGCCTCACTTTTTTTTTACAGGAACGGCCCAAAACGATCTCCAAACACATGGATGTGTTGCTTCCTGATCATGTGATCTGTGACGTATGCGGATGAAGATCGGCTTCAGAGCTGAGATGTTTGTTCTCTCAGCACGGGGGCTCATTCCGATGCAAATGACGACTTTAGTCGTCAATGGCAGTGAATGAGTTAAAAAAATCTTTTTTTTTGCAGCGAGGAGAACAGACAGTGCCTTGGTGATGGTGACTGTGCAGCATGACCGAATGCCTGCTGTTAGCCAATCAGAAGCTATGTGTCTGCATATCATTAATAATAATGAGTAATTCTGATGTTTTCAGCCCACCTCTGCACCGGCAGCTTCTGCATCTTGGAACAGGAGCATCAGAGCTTTTTTTTAAAATGACTGATCCATCTGCAGAGTTCAGCACGGAGCGGAGCGGGTTATTGTGGACCAGCGTGTTCAGGTAAGGGTCTGCAATTTCAGGAGAATGTTTCTATCGCAGTTTGGGCTAGGCAGGCGAGGTTTAAGTTGTGCAAATATTCAGTGCTTTTGTGCTGCAATAAATGTTCTGCAGACCTTAACAAAAACAAAATGTTTCACAGGCTTCACAAGTGACTCCAGAAAGCGGTCGCTGAGTCCAACCTGCCTCAGTTTGTCGGTCTGTGATTATAAATACCATCCAATGCATCAAAGCACCTCTGCGTATTTCTCAGATTCCCCTTTCTCATTCCCAAACTTGCTACTTGCTGACATTGTTTTACATTCATGTACAACTAATGAAAATACAAACAACGGAACTCCGTTTGTGTTGCTTGTTGCATGTAGTGACGTATTCTGCCCCCCAATCAGTGGACTGTGTTGTTGCTTCGCCCTAACCATACCGCTCCAGAAATTTCAGGACTGACAACGGAAGACGTCCCGTGACCGGCGCGATCCAGGTCGGTTGTCTGAACCGGTTTTACAACGAGAAGAGAGAAATCAGCGAGCCGACCCTCCCCGTTCCATGCCCAAAATGGTCGGCGAAATGAAGGTTTAGGCACCGACTTACACCTGCAAATGTATTGAATAAATGAGTAAACCACACCTTGATCAATGTGTCTGGCCTAAACAACAACAACAAAAAAAACAAAACAAAAAAAAAAAAACAACAACTTCTGGCTGTAATAGCGGATAAAAACTGCTACTTTTTAGAGAGAATACTCACAATAAAGTCTAGATTTCCCAGTCTTTATTTTCTTTATCAGAACAAGTGTTGAAAAGGAAAAAAATGACACCTTCCATTGAGGAACTAAATAACATAAATTAAGTTTTAGGAACAAAGGTTTGCACCAATATCAGCTGATGATCGAATTATACCCCTTAATGATTTATTGTGGCTCTGTTTTCCTTCTTGGCATGCAATATAAGAACGTTTGGTGTTAGTGCGTCTCACATCAAACTGAGGTACAAGACAAGTCTTTAACAGTTGTTGAAAGTCAGAATTTTCAGGAACAAAGTAACTGACACTTTTCTCTATTTGAAACCCATATTTTTCATTTAACATATCACACGTTGGACATAGTCAAACTCAGTTTTTATCCATGTACATGACAGCACAAATAAAAAGAAAGAGGTTCAATTCCTCATTAAAAGTGGATTTAAATCTGTATGAAGGGAGTTTGCAGACAGATTTTGAGCTTATGTTTTATTAAAATTGGTGTTATCTAAGGCTTCCCTTTTCTTGTTGGCTTTTGTGCTGCATAATTATGCAAAAATGTAAAAGAACAGGCATGCAAAGCAAGGGTCTAATGACTGAGCTGTCTCACATCGATTTACAAAAGTAAATAAATACAAATAAATGCACAAACACAAACATTTGCTCACCATTTACTACTTGGGGTAATTTGGAACGAAAAGGCTTCAACTAAAAGCCTTTGTAGTGATCGAGGGGACTCTTCCCAGTTGTGACAAGAGTCCATGTTTGTTGTGCAAAGTCCTTGTTTGTGCGGTGCTCAGTTGCATCTCTTGACATCTCAGATCCTAATTAAATCTTCCACAGATGCTTCTAAAATGGACATCATTGTTCTATTTGACTTGGTTTTATAAAGGCTGTATATCAATGATTTTTCACCTGCTGCTTTTTCAGGAATTATTTACTCATGATATAGACCAAATTGCTTCACAATGGCAACCCAAGCAAGTCAGGTCCTAAAATCACTGCCCACATAATGAATGGTGATGTAACCATTGCTCATTCTGCTTTCAGAGGCAATACTGGCTCAAATTAGCCATAATTCCAGAAATCTATACAATGCTTAGAGCTCCACGCTTGGTTGGGGCACCAGCGATGTCTCTGCACATGCTTAATATTTCCATTGCATCCTTCTCCACCTCTTCGCTCTCACTGCCACACAATAATCACGGTCTGCTTCTGTGCTTGCTTTCAGAAAAAGGTAATAAAACTTGCTAGGCTGTGTGCCTCAGTGGTGTACAAAGATGTGCTCAAGGATCGATTGTGTGGGATGATGAATAAACAGTTGTTACCTCCAAACACATATGTCCATCCCTCCTTCTCCCTCCCAGACTGTAACTAAGCAGAGATTTGAAAGCCTACACTAAAACTGATTGAGCCCTAGTGAGCACTCTTCTGCCAGAAAAAAAGAAGGGAAAAAAACCAGCGTTTGGGAAAATATCAAAAAAGATCTCAAATGGCAACAATGATTGTCTGTTCTTCCCACACTAAAGGGAGGAGGAACGGGGCTGGCTTGCTGGCTGTCTTTAGAGCAGAATGAGCGACTGCGCCCTGCTGTCATGCTCTCTAGTCTGTTGTTGGTGAGCAGCGGTGGGCTCGTTGAACAGCCGCTGAGGTCAAAAGACACACAAAGTCAAAGACATGACCAAAACGGTGACAGCCACTCAGACATTACCAGACTTAACAGCAGGAGACAACACAGAGGACAATAAAGTGTGCTGAGCTGATACTTTCAAGGAGCCAGCTCATGCTATTTCAAACCTTTGAGATCAAAGGTAGGAAATTATTACTGTTGGCAATACTGAGATGCCATTTTATCTTAAATATGACTTATTTACCTCAGCCTGAATTTATACCCTGAAAAGAAAGGGTCTGTTTCAGTGAAGCTCCGCCCACAACCGCTCCGACAAAACAGGCCTGCAACAGCGTCTTAGGTTAGTTAGCTGTTGTATTGGGATTAGTAGTCCAGCAGTTTAAGCATCTCCCTGTCATGTTGCTGCATGTGCTGGCGCCGGTTCGACTCCCGATGTCGACAATTATTTATTTAGCCAGCTGAAGCAGATTTCACAAAAAAATATTTAAGTTTTACTATTTTCTACAAAATATTTTGTCTTTCTACAGATTTTTGAATTTGGTCATTCCCAAGCAGCATTTTAGTTGATTTACTCTGCTCACCTCACATGGACGCACACTAGCTTAACAAACAAACAAAAAAAAAAATCTGTCCTTATTTTTAAACAGTTTACCAACAAAGGGTTGAAAACCTAATACTGGCAAAAGAAGAAAAAAGTTACTGGGAGTCGAACCGGTGCAAATCAGCATATCAGTCAAATTACTCTAACCACCGAGCAACCAAGTCTGTTGCACCTAACACACATGTTCTGCGCTGGCCATTACGGACAGGACGCATGATTTTCATGGCGGTGTTTTGTCACCAATACGGAAATAATTTGTCAGAATATCCACTCTGGTACCGGTGGAGGTTTAACGCAGTCATCTGAAACATGAAGGTCACATTTTCAACTGCAGCCTGAAATCAACCGCTCAATTCAAGCAACTTGGAAAAGGTGGGCGTTAAGAGACCTACATCCAAGGGAGGCAGGTTTCAGATCTGAGATTAGCTTCAAGAGGAGGAACAGGGCCTGCTCGGCTTCCAACGAGGATTCGGCAGGCTTTTCTAAAAAATCTGAAAACTTACAGCTGAGACAGGAAAATTAACTCAATCACTGCCAATGACGACTAAAGTAAAAAAAAAAAAAAGGTGAGGCGCGAACCGGAAAAGCTTCTGCCGATCACAATTCAACAACGGATTATGAAAGAATGGATAACGCTTGAAACACGCAGATTCTTCCTGATGTAAGAGGCGAGTCTCCGCTTTGTTTTGGTTGTTTTGGCGTCGACATCATCCTAGCGCACGACGTTCTGTGACTCTTAAAAAAACTGTTAAAACGGTGAGAAACGCTGGCAGCGAAGGGTTTTACTGATCAGGAAACGGCTGACAGCGAATGAGTAAATGAATGCAGCCAAAAATGGATTTGGTGGAATTTTTCATGAGGAAATAACAATATTACCAAAAATAAATAAAATAAAATAAAAAACTGTGGATTTTCTCTGATATGGCTCCTTTAATTTCTAAGAAAGTTTTTAGTTTTCTAGTTCTGCTCTATTGCCCGCATTTAAATTCTGACTTGGTATACGATCAAAAGATCTTTTCTGTCTATCCTGGGAAACATGATGCAAGTTTTATGGCCGTTCCTTCATATAAACCACTAACAAGCACCCTAAATGTTGCATCACCAAAGCAACTCTAAATTGTACATTTGCGATCACAAACAAAAAATGTTGTACAAAAAAAATCTGAAATAATTCACACCATATGACTTTTGTATGTCGAGTTTAACATGCACGACGTCAAACATGGGGACAACTTTGCATTTACTTTAAATGCAAACATCATCTTTTTCTTTTCATTTTCTAATTAGCAGTAGGAAGGTGATTGCCTTCTCTAAGAGAGAATTGCTTTTCTGCAGGTATGTTTACTAGAAGGGTGAAAGGCTGGAATGAGAAGTAGTGGATCTGAATTATTTATGTTGCAGAAGATAATAAACATAAAAAAATGTGAGAGAAGGACAAAGCTTAGGCGGTAAAGAAAAAATAACTGACATAAGACAACAAATACTGCACACACGCAACAATGGAGACAGAACTTACACAGTACACTGTGTTTGTACTGCAGAAAAAAAGGATAAAAGCTCAAAAGAAAAAATGAAGAAAATGTGTAAAAAAAGTGAAAAATAATTTGATTTTTGATTCAAGGCATGCTTTTGGACAGCAACACACTGAGACAAGTGTGTGTGTGTGTGTGTGTGTGTGTGTGTGTGTGTGTGTGTCAGTCTGAGTGCGCACCTCGCTGTGTAACGAAATGATACGTGCTATTGGATTTGTCAGGCAGAGCGTTTCCCTAGCAACAGTGCCTTACCCTTCTCCACCGACTTTGGTGATCTTGAGGCGAAAGTCTACAGAGTTGAGGTTGGGGGGCTTCCACTTGAGGATGTCATCACACCTCCCAGCCTTGTACCTCTGCATGGGGGATTGAAAGAAAACAGGAGGTTTGTTGTGATTAAAATACACTTTAAATGTTGTTTCTGTGAAACTCAAACATCAAAGTTATAAAACGGGGAACAGTCAACTGAAAACTGGCAAAAACCGGGCTATTTTATGACACTGAAAGTCAGTTGCAACTTGGGGGTGTAAAAATGTATTTTACAACCACGAGAATAAATAATTGCAATCATACTTGGTGATTAAACACAATACATCACAACTTGGCGTCACTGTGCACCAACATACAGTATGACACAGACAAAACAACACACTTCCCTCCATGCCTTTGATTATTCATGCAGGCCTGACATTTCGAGGGACATGAATCAAGTGTGCTGAAGCATGAGCAATGTCAGGGTATGATGGCTGGAGGCGGGAACAGATGACCAAATTCTGTCAATGTCGGGTTGCCAGGTAACAGAAGTCCACGCCAAGGAAATGTGTGGCGAACCGACAGGATTCCTCAGGAGAACCTGCACTGTCACAGTGCATGAATAAAAAAGGAGGTCCTGGCTCTGCCCACTTTCATCCCCAATGGCAGGACTTGACCGCCTCATGTCATTAAGGAGAGAGACACATTGATATGTAAAAAAAGTTTATCCAAAAAAATAAAACCTCTTCTTAAAGAAAAACTTGTCTGAATTAGTCAGGCTGTTGGAATTCCCTTATAGTGTGGATCTCAAGCCTCCAAATGTTTTTAATCTCCCAGATCAAGCTCAGCATTCCCACAAATCCTACATTTATTCTGTTTGCTCTACTAAGACCTTCGGAGGCTGAACACTAAGCTTTGTATTGGCTGTGTCCAGATTACCACACCCTAATCTATCATAATTTTTGAATAAAGTCAATCCTAATAAAGCAATGCTGCCCCGGAACATTCAGACGGTCTCTCCTGGAAACTGCAAGCATCCAGGAAGAGCTAGTCACCTACATCTGTAGAATCTTTTTCTCAGTCCCCACTCCACTTTCTGTAATAACTAAGGATTTGGGTATAGATTTCAAAATCTACTCATTGATTTCTTTCCACTTAAGACAGGGTGGAATCAGGGGGGAATGAGGACAGAGGGAAGCCTGGACATTCCAATCTCCAGTGACACTCGCATTCCCAGATGTCAGGCCAGAGGGAATATATAATCTCTCCAGTGTGTTCTGGGTCTAGCCTGGTGGCTCCTCCCAGAGGGTCTCAGCTGATTCCTGTCAGTGAGAAGTTGCAGAGGCTCTCACCTTATTTCTAAGGTTGAGCCTATGCATCTTAGAGAAAGCTTATTCCGGCTGCTTGTATTCACGACTTTGTTCTTCTCCACTGCTGGAGCTTAAGACTGACTCCCAACTTAAAGGGCACTTTCTGGCCTTTTCTAGACCCCGCCCCCCAGCTTCTGGCCTAAAATCTAGATCGTCATTTGCTGACGCAAAGCAATTTTGCTTTGCGTTTTGGTACCTTTCCATTGCAACCTTCACAAGCTCGGCCAGCATTGTGGCTGACCAATCACAGTGTGTTTATTTAGAAAAACAATGTATTGTTTTATGTAGTTCTTCCACGATGTAATGATGGACTGCCCAGTTGACTGAAATTCATAGTGGTCCAGTCATAGTGCTCTATTGGTTTAGTGGGCCAATCACAGCGCTCACAGCACTCTATCAGCCAGGTAGGCAGGATGTCACTGCAAACCAAGATGGCCACGGCTCGGTAGCGATCCAATCATAATGCTCTATTGGTTTGGTGGGCCAATCACATTTTTCGGAAGGCGGGATGTTACTGAAAGAACAAAGATGGCGACGGCTTGTTTGAAACGGCTTTGGCTTCAACAATGGACAATTTTCACCTGAAATTTTCTTTCAAGCAATAGCAGATAGAGGTTTATTTGGTGGGATGGGGTGATGGTGGCACAGGAGTTAAGTGCTTGCCCCATAATCGGAAGGTTGCAGGTTCGAGCCCCGCTCAGTCTGTTGTAGTCATTGTGTCCTTGGGCAAGACACTTAACCCCCCTTGCCTGCTCGGGGTGGTCAGAGGGACTGGTGGCGTCTGTGCTCGGCAGCCTCGCCTCTGTCAGTGCGCCCCAGGGCAGCTGTGGCTACAATGTAGCTCATCCTCACCAGTGTGTGAATGTGTGTGTGAATGACTGTGTTGTAAGGCACCTTGGGGTGTTCCAGGACTCTAGAAGGTGCTATATCAAATATAGGCCATTTACCATTTCATCTAAAAAAAAAAGTAAGTATTTGCGTCTTCTTTGATGGAGTATGGAGGAGTGCCTCATTGACTGACATCTGTAGCGGTGAGTATGTCACGTTGTTTGTTATCCAATGGCATGTGGGGACTAGCCTGGCAAGCCAGACTAAATAAATACATTATTTTAATAAATAAATATATTATTTAGTCTGGAAACGCTCTATTGACGGCTCTCGGTCGTGGGGCAGGTTCTATCGTTGTCTTTCAAACGATCACTGCATGCTGCTGGACAATGAACAATGCAACTTACTCATCACAATGGATGCCGGTAAACGAGGCGGTCCGCTGTTGAACAAGGTGAAAATACATCGCTTTTTCTAAAAAAAGAACTGAAATACATCTATCTGCTCCTGATTCTAATAAACCAAAGTCCAAATAGTCCAAAATTGATGTAAAAGCCGTTTCAAACGAGCTGTCGCCATCTTGTTCCACTATGTTACATCATCCCGCCCACCACACAAATAGAGGGCCCCGATTGGCCGTCAAAGCGGATAAACGCTGTGATTGGTTCACAAAGCAGATAGAGTGCTATGATTGGCCCACCACTGTGGACCTATCACAGCTCTCTATGTGTTTGAAACCCCTCTAGAGAGCTGTGATTGGCCAACCAGAATGCTCTTAGGGGTTGCAAAGGTTCCAATGGAGCGTTTCTAGACCAAACTTTGCAAAGCAAGAATTTGGTCTAGTTCACTAGGCTAGGTGGCGACAGTTTGAAAGACAACTGTAGATCTCGCCTCATGACTGAGAGCTATTAATGGATCGTGTCCAGACTATATATTAACATGTAAATAGCATGGCTTTCCAGGCTGATGGGTAACAGCTGGAGACGCAGCCCTCAAGTGTTACTTGGATGAAAACAATAACATTCCAGGGGTCTATACCAAACTAAACTCACACGAGCTGCAGAGATTTTTAAATAACATCTTTATTTTTTTATTTGAGCCAGCATTGTGAAGGTTACACAAGCAGTTACAAGGTTAGAAGAAGGCGAGAGTCTGAACAGTGTTAATCTTGCCTGCCTGCAGTCCAGATCAACTAAACACATTTAGAGCAATTAGAAAGACAAATACAACAGAGGACAAAAGCTGTTGAGCAGCAGGAATATCTGAGACAGAAAACAGTTTTGCTTTAAAAACACCAATCAGCCTCTCAAGGTTTCAAACAGTGTTTTGAAAAGACTAAGCAAAGATAAACATGTTGTAGACTTGTTTGGAACTTGTCACAACAAAATTCAATAGAAGAAACCTTTCAGCCTCAATATATATCATGTGGCTTTTACAAAATGTCTCATAAAAATAATTATTACAGTGTTAAATGAATAATCACCATAAAGTTTAATTCTGCCAAACATCCAAATGCTGACGACTTATGAACCCCAAACGCAGCCTGGGGTTGCTTTCAGACGCTTTCCCAACTCTGCATGCTGAAATATGTGCGGCGTGATTTCAAACCAAAGTGATATTTGCTCTAAACGAGAGCCCTTCCCAGAGGAACCATGGCAACAACTCTATGAAAGCCCAATCAGACAGCAGGTAGAACAAACACACAACCTTCAAATTCATTTCTGAATAAAAAATGTGATGCCTGATGCACTTGTGCTTTCAACACTATTGTTGGACTAGTCAATAAGTGAGATCGGATATAAAAAACGAGAAAACTTTATTACTGAAGTGCAAAAAGAGAACGCCGGCCCCGACCTTGCCTTCAGGAGCATAGCTCTCATCTATCAAATTCATTTTCATGTAATGATGTGCCAATGCATATAAATTACCTGCTGCTTCACGACAAATTCAGAGGCCGCCAGAGCGGGAAACCGAGGGATCGACGCAGCGGAAAAATAAATGTGCTTCACTGATGTCTAATGTTTAAAAAGGATGGAACGCCACACATATTTACTTCACGAATATGTGACAAAAATATGTCCACACAACAAACACAATCTTTTCTGCCCAAAATTCACACAAAAATCAGCTCTAATGTCTTTCCTAAAGAAAAAGCACTCAGATTTGTGGTTAAATGAGGAAAAGTAAGTGACCAGGAAATAACTTGTTTGTCTGCGTCAACTACTAGACAAAGTCAGAGTACATCCATCCCCAGAGCTAAATTATTCTACATGGCTGCAGGCTCATCAATCTAGCAGGCCTAAAAATGGCTCAAACTCAGGCGATTTTACAGATAAGATAGCCATTGATAGAATCTTACCCATCAGGCTTTAACTAACAATGATCTTTGAGTCACCTCAGTCTCTGGGGGTAGCGCGATTTTTACTTGTGAAAAATAGCATGTGGCGATCAGTAAACAGTGTAAGGTAACTAGTATGCTCTACAGAAACACAACTAAGCAGAAAATTGTTGGTGTGGCTGCACATTTTCCATCAGTTTTATGGCTTTTTGTCAGACTCTGAACCAGGAAATAGCTGCAGGTAGTGAAACGGAAAGCAAAAAACTCTAGAGCAACCAGTGACTATGCAACCCAGCCAATCAGCAGCCAGAATCACGATGCTGGCGCGATTCAGCCTTGCCAGGTACCTCAACTGAGCAGGGACTAAAATTAGCGGAGAAAGTAGAGGGAAATTACCAAACCGTGCCCTTGGAAACAGTGGTAGGGCCGAGCTGCATCGGTCCGAGTGGAGTTCCTGGAAAACCACCTTTAGAATCAAAAGGCACCAAAGGTCTTTTTTGGTGGAAAGGGGGCCACTAATGCCACGTTTTAATGCTAAACGTGACTCGGTTCAGCTAAACTTGAGTAA